TGTCAGGTTGATTTCCTAGGAAAGATTCACTTGAGAATAAGCGGGAATACTAACTTGTGTTTACATTATGAATTTCAGAATAATTGCATTCTAAAATGTTCTCAGTATCATAATTCTGGGAAAGCGAGGATTTATATAGAAAATACTTGATCTGCTTTTTACTACAGTCTATTCCTATAGTTCCTATGGTTCTCCATTCTTATATTTTATAGACACAACTATTTAAGTCAGTAAAAATCTGGGAATTATTTGAGAGATGAGGCACAGGTACTCACTAGTTGAATTATTAAAATCTGTAAATGTAATTTAAAAACTATTAGGGGCTCTAAGAGTCACAATTTCAGCACATCGCTCCTTTCTGATTATTGCACAAAGAACTCTGTTATCTGGCTTGTTGCTTTTAAGCCACCAAGTTTTCGGGTAATTTGTCATGCAACAATAGATAACTGAAACACTGGATCCAATTGCACCTGGTTTATGATGGGTAGCTGGGGTCTCGTTCAAGGATTTTATTTCAACTATGCCCAGTAGCAAGACGGGAGCTATTTCTTAAAAGGTAAAACTGAAGTTACCAGCAGAGGAGAACCCCAGGAGTCTTTGCTGTGATTCCTTTATTAGGGCTTGCCAGAGACTCCTCGCCACGTCTTTCTTTACCACAGGCACTTGGAGTTTCCCTGGATTTCCTGGTCATGAGGAGTGGGTGGCAGGATGAAGCACATCCAAGCTTGGACCTCCTGCAGAGGTTTCTCCAGTTCTGGCCCCACTCAAAACTAGCAGCCTTAGGGCTATTCGGTAAATGAGTGAGAGCACCATATCCACATGTGAGATCAATTGCCTCCAATACCCAAAACAATGCTGAATTGCTTTCCAGGGCTTATAATTAATTATCTCACTGGCAGTTTGTGAGAACCCCCAGCCCTCCACATCTTTACACATGCTTGTTATTGTGGTATCTTTTAATGTTTGCCAATCTCTTGGGTGTCACATAAAGTCTCGTCATGTTGTTAATGCATTTTGCTGGTTACTAATGAAGTTGAACCTCTTTTTTTTTTTACATTTTTATTGGCAGTTTTGTTCCTTCTTGTTGGAAACATCTGTTTATGAATTTTACCCCTCTTTCTGTTGGATTGGTCATCTTTCTTATAGCTTTTTGATGTCATTTATATATTTTGGGTAGAATCCACATTTGCTTACTTTCTCTTGGCTAGAAGAAATAAATGGTGAGCTACAGTGAAGAAGATTCCCTTGTCAAGGCATCTAACATATTTTCCTGGTTGCTACTTCCCATTTCTGTCTGCTTATTGCTTCATTGAGATTAGTGAAATTTCCCAGGGCTTTTTTACCTCACCTTTTCCCCATGTATTCCTTGAGAATTGGGGTTTGGTGGATTGGTGAGGTTGGGAGGAGACTGTAGCCAGAGGAAACACAGCTTGATTTCTGGAATCTTTCGATTTCTCTTTGTCTGGTCATTGTTTTAAATGTTGCCTTGAAGTTGTGTCCCTTCTTTTGAGTGTTTTTTGGTTTTTTACATGTATTTGGTTTTTTAACATGTACTTGGTATTCATTTTGTTTGGTTTGAGTTGGCAATATCCTGTATTCTGGCTTTATTCTTCCATTTGACCCTGGAAGTCTCCAGGACTACTTTGGAGGTTGCCCTTGATGTTAATTTTAAATGGACATTCTCAGGGTGACAACATTGGAGAGAAGAGATTTCTTTTACCTTTGGCTCTGTGTTTCTATAGAATGGCCCTGACAGTGACTGCAAGACTCCGCTACAAGATGTTGGGTGGAGACGGACTTCACATACCATAAACTTGACTGTGTAAAAATGAAACCTCTCCTTTCCTCGCTGACTAAAAATTTCTAGCTTGAATTCCTATTCCGTCTGAGACAGAAATCTTAATCCAACAATTTAACAATAGTGTCAAGCACTTCTGACATCTTTTCTTACATATTTCAGGTTTAAACTTAGTTAACTTTAGGATTTTTAATACTCCTGTCCTCAGTTTTCTTGCTTCTGGGGTTGCTGCTAAGCTTGGCTTGGGGAGTGGTGCAAATGCCATCTCAGATAGGTGGGAGGAGATTTCCATGCCTCCTTTGAGAGCATCTAGGGCTTTGTTGCTGTCTTCCGGGAACGTGCTGTGTTGCTGAGCCTTGCGTGGCTCACCCAAGCTGGCAGCCATACAGTTGCTGCCCATTTCCCATCCAGTGCTTAGCCCCATGGCCCCATCTCTGCATTCTCATTCCTAGCGTGTGTTTTCGTTTTCTATTACTGCATAATAAGTGACCGTAAACCTAGTGGTTTAAAGCAACACCCCAATATTATCTCACAATTTTTACAGGTTGGAATTCTGGGCACTGTTGAGCTGAGCCATCTGCTTAATGTCTCACAAGGCTGAAATCAAGGGGTCAGCCAGGCTGTGTTCTCACTGAGAGGCTCTGGGGAAGAATCTGCTTCTAAGCTCATTCAGGCTGTTGGCAGAATTTATTCCCTTGTGGTTATATGACTGGGCTTCTTGTCTTCTTGCTAGCAGCTGGTCGGGAGCACCTCTCAGCTTTAGGATGGCCTTCAGAGCCTTACCTGTAGCCCTCACAGGCTTCCTCACACACCACTATTGGCTTGTTCAAGGCCAGCAGAAGAATGTCGCTTACCTTTAACCTCAGGGCTCATCTGATTATGTCACACCCCCCGACAAGATAATCTCCTTTTTTTATTAACTCAAAGTCAACTGATTAGGCCCCTTAGTTACATCTTCAAATTCCCTTCATTTTTGCCATATAAGATAAGCTAATCACACTTGTAAGATCTTGTCAGATTCACAAGTTCTACCCACATTCAAAGGCTGACAGCAGGGACTAGAAAAGTTGGGACTATTTCAGAACTCTGCTGACCCCACTGTTGGACCCTTGAAGTTATAGTTTTTCTGCTAGCTTTTATATCTCCCTTGGCTCTGGAACATGGGAATTTCAGATATTCTACTGTGCTGCTCAGGGACTGGGAGGAAACTCAGAGCTCTTTACACCTCTGTTCTGCAGTCTACCTTTCCTGTCCGTAGCTGAGAGGCCTGCAGGGCTGAAGGCCTTCTCACTGAGGTTCATCTCATATCCTCAGGCTTACAGGGAGAACCACTTCCTCTTCATCCCGAAAGTCCCTGGGTGGGGTGGGCAAAGATCAGGACTCATCTTGTGCTTTGTCTCCACACTCTTGCTACCTCCTCTAATCCGTCAAGGTTTTATTTGCTTTTCCTATTGGGGAATGGGGAGGGACATAAGGCATGGCTAAATAGTCTTTGAAATGTATTGCTTATGCCAAGTCTTCAGACCTGGAGGCTTAAAAGCTGAAAATTAATTTCTTTTGCCTCAATTTGCATTTCAACTATGGTCAAACTGTTCTGGGGGCAGCAGAGGCCAGGATTAATTTAAAGTGGGGGTGGGAGCTACAGGGTAAACAAAGGGACTACAAGGCTATCTCATGTCCCCCCCTCCCTGATGTTTGTGGGTTAATACTTCATAAACAACCTGCCACAACAGTTTCGAAAACAGTCTAGGTTTTCTAAATCATATTGAGTATTGGATTAGTTCCATGTAAATGTTTATGCCTCATCTACTATATTCTTTATCTATGAACATTTTTTCCCTTTCCCAGAGCAAGTGGAAACCCCAGAGAAGAGCAACTTGAAATACTTTTAGAAATTAACAAAATGTTAATTAAGTTTTCCCTTGCTGAGAGGATTGCAAAGCTTGGCAGTGTTTCAGAGACAATAAAGGACTCATGCTTCTACTAATTAAGAGTATTACTCAAGTGAAATAAGTGGAAATCAATAGAAACCCCAAAGCTTAGTAAATATAGAGAATGGCATTGGGTAAAAGAATATGTCCAAAGAGCAGCTGGTATTTTTTCACCAGAATAGTTAGGTTAGGACAATTTTGCTCTTAGCTGCTAACCAGCACTTCTCTCCACCCCTATCCTCAATACCCAGGCTTGATTGCCACGTAAACAACCTGCTAATCTATAGCCATGATGGAAGTCATGGAAAAATCTCAAAGGAGCACACTCTAAACTCAGTTGGCTTGTTTTCTCAAAGCCAGATAGGAACATTCTCAGGCTGTTGGCTCACCAGGCAGAGCTTCCAGGACATTGCTCTTTTTTCTTTCCCATTTTTCTGCCCTCCTGAGTACCTTCTTCATGTTCTTCCATCCCATTTCTAAAAGTATAGGTTTATCCCAGGAAAAGTCGATCTCATTTCTACGTGGCTCATTTTGGAAGCCTCATATCTTTCTGATTTTTAAGGTACTTTGTTTTTCTCTTCTGAATTTTTCTTTGCTTTACCTGGATAGTATTACCTTACTGTTGAGGAGTAAATTTTTATCTTTGTATCCCCAACATCTGGAAAATAGTAGTTGCTAAAATATTTGTTTAATATGAACTCATCAGAGAAAGACATATCTACTTACTTGACTGACTCTCTTCCCACTAAACATAACCACTTTGAAGGTAAGGACCTGTTTTATTCATTTTTGAATCCCTAGTGCCTAACATAATGCTTGGAATAGAATAGATTCTCAAGCAGTTTACTGAAAAAGTGAATAATAATCAGGAGTTTATAGACGTATCTCAGTATACTATAGAACAATAATTAGCTCTGATGTTATAATTTTGGAATGTGCTACTGCGGAAGTAGATGAAGAAAGGTGACTGCATTGGTGTTCAAACAATTGCTGGGAAGTTGGGCAGAAAAGGGATGCAATGAGAAATAATTTTAAAGATGTTACAGGTGAGCGTTCTCTCTCTATGCAGTCTTTACAAAATCAAGCGCATTTCTGATCCAAGGCAGAGAACAAATATGTCCTTTACTTTCCTTGAGATGAAATTCAAACTTTAAATGCTTCCTTGAAAATTATGAAATCCTTTCTACCAAATGGCTTAAGGGAGTTGAAATCTGAGCTGACATCTGAGTCAGACAGTTGGAATAATTTTCATGAGTAGTATTGCTTGTGCCATTGCTGATTTGGTAACCACCTCAGAGAACATCCTATTTATTTCCAGCAAGGACCTAAATCCACTTCAGCCAAAAATGAACAAAGAAATCATGATGAAGAACAGAGCCTGTTTCTTTCTCAGTGGTGTGCTCAGGTTTGAAAATGAGATGATTGTTTTTTCTGTTTCCCTCAAGTTTCTGCAAGGTCTTAACTCTTTCCTTCACCTTTGCCCATGGTTTCCTATACATTTAAATTATCTGGATATAGTCATTTTCCTGCCATGTTGAACCTTGTAGAGTTGGATTTTCTCTAATAATTCTAGATAATTCAGGTGGTAAGGTGGTAATCAGTTTGATTCCAAATGTGCTGTATCTTTATTCTTATGAATCAAGATATCAAAATTAATAGCAACATATCAAAATTTGAATGGTATCTCAGTTCCTTTAAAGTAGTTACAGGAAGACTATATGTTTTAGAATCATACATATCTCTTTGAATCCTGTCTTTGTTACTACAAGGTGTGAAGTCTTGAGTACATTTCTTAATATTTCCCAATTGGAAAATGTGGAAAATAACTACATCATAGGAATCACTTGAGATTTAAATAAGTTAAAAGGCCTTCTTAATAGGTGATACATGGTTTTTCCCCAGCAAACACTTCAACTAACATTGAAGTTTAATACTGATTCCCTAATCTTACTTTTAAAGAGCATGGTTAATAACCAATATTAGTGTAAGTAAATGCAGGAAAATTTAGCAATCAGAAATTAAGATTTTGTGACATTTAAAATTAATATTTTAATAATATAACTGTAAGGGTTATTGCCGAGTTTAAAATGAGGAAACTGAGGCCAGTATAAAAAAATTAAATGCCAGTTTATTCAGCTCCCGGGCGAGGTTCTATGGTCCAGGGAAAAGGACCAGAGAAGTTGCAATGACTTATTGGGGCAGGGGTTTTTATGGCTATGAGGAACGAGCAACAGTTGGGTGCTCTGATTGGCTCCAGGGGAGCGGGATTGGGACCGGGTGGGCTGCTATTGGTTGGCGGGTTGTTGGGCAGGTTTTTCTAGTGCAAGAGCCAGCCAGGGTTGCATCAGCTGGAGCCTTCCAGGGGAACCGTGTGCAGAGCTAGGTGCCGAGTGCAGAGGCAGGTGCCGGAAGCAGATGAGTGCAGAGATAGGTGCTGGGTGCAGAGTTAGGTGCTGGGTGCAGAATAGGTGGGTGTGTCCAGTCTCCTGGTGAGGCAGCCGGCCTTACATTCTGACCCTTTTGATGATGTAGGACACCGCTTCTCTCTGGCTACTTCCTGCTGAAGAGGACTGAAGTGGGGGAGAAGGGTCAATTGGCTGGTGCCTCGGTTCGGAGTCGGACATAGGGGTGAAGTAGCATCTGGTTTACGGGCACCCTGGAAATTTTCCTCCTGCAGGCCTGTAAAAACCTGAGGAAAAAAGGGGCTAGCATTAACAGAAGACAAACTACGATGATGGGAGTGATAATAGGGGTTAGCCAGGTAGGCATGGGGGATTGCCACCAGTTGAGAGGTGAGACTGATGCATTCTGCTTCTTGCGGAGGTCTTCTTGGAGGCGATAGAGTGTTGACGTTTTCCTCCACAAGGCCTGTTTCATTAATATAATATCAGCACTGCTCCCAAAGAAACAGACAGGTACCTCCCTTTTCTGCTGTCAACAGGTCCAGGGCCCGTCGGTTCTGGCGAGTTACCTGGGCCAGCGACGTGATTTGTTGCTGGAGGTAGGCCAGGGAGGCGGCTGACGCTTTGATAGCCAAGCGAAGCTTGTCCTCTAGTTGAGTGGCTGAGGTGACACTGTAGCCTAGGGCGTCACTACCCAGCCCGGCTGTCACCAGAGAGGATGCTAGTGAGAGACCGACAACCATTGGGTGGAAGACTGCTCGTCTGTCTTGGCGATTAGGGGAAGGTGGAAGGAGGGATAGAAGTTCGGCCTGTCCGTATACCTCTCACTGTGGGACCAAGGTGACAGGCACACAGGGAAAGGGAAGGAGGCATTAATAACTTTGGTTAAGATTCCATTACACCAGAAGTATCCTCCTGGAGGTGCGTAGAGGGAGAATTTTACTTTTACTGTGGTATTACAGCTGGGACTGGAGCTGCTGGCCATCTCATAGCAGAGAGAGAGATTTTGAGAGTGCACTTTGAACAAGGGGATATCCGTTAAGGTGGTGCCGGGCCCCATAGGTGATTGTGACAGATTGAACCCGGACCTGAGGGGAACTGCAGCCAAGGGGGGGTTGCTAAGAGAGGCACAAAAAAAGCAATTGGTGATATTTATGGCTTTGGTTAGATTTAACATGTTAGCTCCCTGCTTTACTAGAGTTAACCAAGAGAAAGGTTGAGAGGTGCTCTTTGAGGGTTTGACTTAGTTAGTTAGGGTGGCTTCATTTTGCAAGATTGTATGGCTTATAGAGCTAAGTTGTTCTATAACCTCAGGGACAATGCAGGTGTAGGACCGAAATATCAGCCATGTTCCCTGGGGATGGCTGTTTTGCCACCAAGAGTAAATTTTTCCCTTGACTCCCTTTACCCAGCGGTTGTCCCACGGGTCACGGATGGTAAGAAATAATGTACCTTTGCCGTTGGAGGTGAGTACTTCCTTTCCCTTTAGAGTTCCTGCTGTGTCTAACTGTGGTTTATGGATAACGCAGGAATTATATGGGCAACCTCCATAGGTGGTGTTCCACCAATGGCAATAGTCATGGACTTGGTCATAGAGAAAACAGAGGCCATGAGCTTCAAACCCTTGGCCCCAGAATGGCATGGTTTTAGATTTCGTTCTTGGGATTTCAATTATTACTGCTGACTGGCAGCCAGCCGGTTGGTAGTCTGCTTGGGCAAGGTAGTGAGTCCTGGTAGTGGGACCCTTTACCCAGGATTCCTGGAGGTAGAAGCGCCAAACATAGGAGTTGGCTTTAAGAGGAGATATCAGAAGGACTGTTAGGAGGAGGCTCTGAAGGCTTAGGGGGTGACGGGTCGGGGCAATGGGTGAGGCGGAGTTGATTGGGGCCCAGGGGTTCGGATTTCCCCTGATCATTTTGGGGGTCCAGCTTGAGGCGGGACACATGGTACCATGGAGTGTGACCCAGGAGTTTGGCCACTGTGGGGGTGGTAAGGATGACAATGTGAGGTCCCGACCACCTGGGCTGCAAAGATCCTGGTTTGAGTTCTCAGAGGAGAACGCTGTCGCTTGGTTGGAGAGGCGCCGCCGGGTGGGAGTCTTCCGGTCCTGGGACAACAGGGAGGGTGCAGTCCGCGTGCTCCCTAAGCAGGTGACGGAGAAGATAGAGGAAGGGAAGGTAGGAAGCCAGTGGGGCGGTTTTACAGGGAGATTATTGGGAAACCAGGAAAGGCCGGCCATACAGCAATTCAAAGGGGCTAAGGCCCGTTGGTCCCCGTGGGGTGGCCCGGACCCGGGCCAGGGCAAGAGGTAGGAGTGTGGGCCAAGAGAGTTTTACCTCAATAGCAAGTTTGGCCAAGTGGTCTTTGAGGATGCCGTGGGCCCGTTCAACTTTACCGGACGACTGAGGTTGGTAAGGGATGTGCAGTTTCCAGGAGATGTTGAGGGACTTGGCGACTAGCTGGACTACTTGGGCCGTAAATGCTGGACCGTTGTCCGACTGGATGGTGGAAGGTAGGCCGAAGCAAGGGATGATTTCCTGAGTAAAGAGGGAGGCCACCATGTCTGCCGTCTCCTGGGAGGTGGGGAAGGCTTTAATCCAACCTGAAAAAGTATCTACAAAAGTTAGGAGGTAGAGGAGCTTTTTGTGAGTGGGCATATTGAGTGAAGTCAATTTGCCAGTCTTGGGCCAGTAGGTTGCCATGCATTTGGTGAGTAGGAAACTGTGGCTTTAAGCCTCCCTGAGGTGAGACCTTTGAGCAAGTAATGCATGCCTTGTGTACCTGCTCAATTGTTTGTTGCAGACCCGGTGAGAAAAAGAGGGGCTGTACAAAGTGGTGTAACGCCTTATGCCCTATATATAAGGATTGGTGGATTTCAGCAATAATTTTAGGGGCCTGTTCCCAGGGAAGTGCGATTCTGTTATTTAGGAAGATCCAGCCCTGATTAGATTGTGTTCCCCCTTTTAGTATGAGGGCCTGTTTTTCTGATGGTGAGTATAGGCTGTGTGGCTGTGGTAAGGAAGAGGACAGGGGTAGGGGTCAACCTGGCGTTAGTTAAAGATCTTGCTGCTGTATCTGCCTGCGCATTGCCCCAGGAGACGGCATCGTGCTGGGCCCGGTGTCCTAGGCAGTGTATGACTGCAACTTCCCTGGGCAATGATAAGGCCTGTAAAAGGTTGGAGATTTGTGTATCGGGGGATCCCTTTGTGGTAAGGAATCCCCACTCTCTCCAGAGGGCAGAGTGGCAATCGGTAACAAGAAAGGCATATTTTGAGTCAGTATAGATATTTGCTCGCTTTCCCCTGTGCTAGTGTAAGGGCTCAGGTTAGGGGATGTTCAAATAGTTGGTAAAGCATTATTTCTGGGTATGTCTGTGAGGGTGTTTCTGGAAGTGATTGGCATTTGAATCAATGAGCTGAGTAAGAAGGATCTGCCCTCACCAAATGTGGGCAGGTATCATCCAATTCACTGAGGGCCCAGATAGAACAAAAAGGCAGAGGAAAGGCAGATTTCCCTTTTGGAGCTGAGGCATCCATCTTTTTCTGCCCTTGGACATCAAAGCTATAGGTGTCTGGGTCTTGGGACTTTGGAACTTACACCTTCTGCTCCCTTGGTTCTTGGGCCATTTTACTTAGAAGGAATCACACAACCAGCTTCCCTGGTTTTCCAGCTTGCAGATGACAGAAGATGGGACTTGTTGGGCTCCATAATCATGTGAGCCAATTCCCATAATAAATTCCCTATTACACACACACACACACACACACACACACAATGGGTTCTGTTTCACCAGAGAACTCTGACCCATACAATATGTTATTTACGCTAACATGTAATGGATTTATTTTAAAAATGAATAAATACTTAAATATTTAAAATTTTCACGATTCAAATGTCTAATACAGTAAGTATTTATAGATATAGCTTACATAAACAAAAGCTCTTTGGGGTTCTTTATAATTTTTGATAATGACCAAAAAGTTTGATAACTTGTATGTTAGTA